TTATGAAGACAATCTCGAAACCCCAAGGTGAGAAGAGAAAGATATTTGCCCAAATGCAAGAGAGTGTTAGAAAGGATGTGGAACGTGCTTTTGGTGTGCTTCAATCCCGGTAGGGTATCGTTCGAAACCCTGCACTGTCATGGATGAAAGGAAGCTTTGAGAGGTGATGACTGTTTGTGTGATCATGCACAACATGATCGTCGAGGACGAGCGTGATGAGAGTATCTTCGACCAAGGATTTGACTATCAAGGTGAAAATATTGAGCCCCTGCACCAAGACCCAGCCACATTTGAACAGGTTGCTCAATTCCATCATGAGATGCGTGATTGACACTCTCATTTGAATCTTCAAAATGACTTGATTGAGCACGTGTGGGATCACATTGGCAACCAATAGATATAGGGAGAATTCCTTATTTGGCCCTTTCTTAAATTTTGATTTCCTATTTGGCCCAAAATAAAATTTTCTACCCTATTTGTCACCTTAAGTAATTTATGTTTCTTATATGGCACTTCCGTCCATTTTAGACACTAACGGTGTTAAGTTTGAGGTGAAAAGACCATATTGTCCCTGGTGCATTGTGTAACTATCGTGATGTTCAACGGATGTTGTGCATGTATATGCATAGCTAGTTTTTTTTGCGGATAAACTTGCATAGCTAGTTAGGCATCTCCAGCCGCGTCCCCAGGAAGGCCTCCCCAGGCGATTTTTTCGCGCCGGCGCTAAAAAAACGGCCCAGTCGCGCCTCCAGGAGCCCGATTTTCGCCGGCCTGGGCCGAAAACAGCGCCGGCGGACCCAGGCCGAACCCGGCACACTGGGGGGCGCCCGGGGGCGACGGGGCGAACTGTTTTGGCGCGAAACAGCCGCGGGCCCGTCGCGTCAGCGACACGGCGCCTCGTCTTCCCCCAACGGCCTCGGTTCCCACGGGGAATCAATGCCAAGGCTGCCGCCGATCAGCCTTGCCATTGATTCCTCATGGGCGGCACGTCATGGGACGGCGCGCCGATGCCTCCCTTCCCTCGCACGCGTACACACGGGTGCGGCGCGGCTATATAGCCGGTGACCTGCACTCGCCTGTGCCCACACCAGCCCCGCCCCCCGCCGCCGCCCAGCTCCTCCCTCTCCCTACCTCTCTCGAGCGCCGCCGCCCAGCCCCTCCCTCTATCTCTCTACCTCTTTCGAGCCCGTCGCCATGGCGAAACGCTTCCCCGGAGACGAGGCGGCGGCCAACGGCTTCGGCCGCCGTTCGCTCCGCGAACAGGAGTCCTGGCTCCTGTTTCAGGCGAACATCCCGGCGCCGCCGGACATGCGCGCCGGGCCGACGGGGTGGAGGCTCAGCGCCGGGGGAGTGCCCATTCCCCCGTTGCCCGACGCCGTGGCAAAGCCGAAGTACTTCGCCGAAGAAGTCGAGGTCGTGCGCGTCTCCCTCACCGACGCCCAACTCTTCCTCCACCAGTACGCCGCCGACAACCACGCGGCTTGGGCGGCGTATTTCGAGCGCCGCCAGCAGCAGCGCTTGGCGTCCATCAACGGCGCGCCGGTGGTTGGTGGCCGGCAGAACAGCGAGGGGCGCCACCTGTGGTGGGGCGTTCCCGGACGCACACTCGAGGGCGTGCTGACGTACCTCGAGGGCGGCAACGACCCGCCGTTGGCGTACCCGGCGAGGGCGGCCGCCCCGGCGCAGCACCGACGCGCCGGGCCATGGGCGCCAAGGAGGTTCGGGTCCTCCTCCTCTTATTCCTCCTCCCGATCTTCATCGCACTCCTCCGGCACTCCGGCCCTGCTTGGCGTCAAGGCCGAGCCCGCGGCGGAGACACTGCTCGGCCGGCGCACTCGCAGCGCCGACATCGTCATCAACGAGGGCGGCCGGCGTGCCTACTCGTCGGCTCCTCCTCCGCGTTTCGTCAAGCCAAAGACGAAGCCGGGGCTCGCGCCGGTGAAGAAGGAGCCGGCCGCGCCGGTGACAACGAAGCTCGACGACGACGACGCGGCCCTGGAATGGGCGCACAGGGACTCCATAGCGATGGAGAAGGAGCGCCTGGAGAAGGCGAAGGAGCGCCAGTGTGCCGCCCTGCTTCGCTTCGCGGAGCGTCGACGCGGCCGCGACGAAGGCGGAGTCGTCGTCTCTGCGACAGCGACGACGACGACGACGACGACGATGCGCCGCCACCAGTCCGCCATGGCGCCGCCGGGCAGGGGTCCAGCAGGGGCGCCCGCGTCAAGGAGGAGAAGGCCGCCGCCGACGATGGCGGCGACTTCAGCCAGTTTTTCCTTTAGATTAGTTTATTATGTATATGTGCTATGTAATGAAAATCCGCGAACTTCGCCGAAATGTGCCGAAATTTATCGTGTTTGGCCGAAATTTATCGTGTTTGGCTGAATTTTATCGTGTTTAAGCCGAACTTCGCCGAACTTTTTTTATTTTAAAATGTGCCTGGGGACGGCCCTGGGGCCGGCGGCTGGGGACTAACTCGCCCCCAGGCCTAATTTTTACGCCGACTCACCTCCAAACGGCGATTTTAGACGTCCCCTGCAGGCCAGCGGCTGGAGATGCCCTTAGTCGGCAATATCGATCAATCAGCGGCTGGTAGTTTATAGTATACGTACATACATAGCATAACTAGCCTAGCCTCAAGATCGACCCAGCAGGCTGCTAGCTTCGGTAGCTAGCTTGCTACGTGTGTGCGTGTTGTCTCCTAAAAGAATCGATGAAGCACGGCTTGTGTATTTACACATTTCGCCGGAATCTCAACAGACCACTAAGGCCACGGGACATGCACGCACACACCCGCACGCACCATGGTGACCACGGGCGTACACACGTCATCGCGGCCTCAACGCTGCGGGCCATCCACTATGCAGCCGCATTCGCACGTGATTAACTAATCAAAATATTGAAGCATACATATACAATATGCACATTATTAGTTGAACATCCCTAAAACATGGATGAGCTGATTGCTTTTTTACTACATCCAGAATGGTTACACAATACATTAGGGGCAAAACGGTCTTTTCACCTCACACTTAACACCGCTAGTGTCTAAAATGAACGGAAGTGTCATATAAGGAACAAAAATTACTTTAGGTGTCAAATAGAGAAGAAAATTTATTTTGGGCCAAATAAGAAACCAAACTTTAAAGAAGGGCCAAATAAGGAATTCTCTCATAGATGTATTGGTCCATTTTATATTTAGTCAAGACAATTTCGATTTGGTTGTAAAAATATTTTATTAAAGACAATTTCAATTGGGTTGTAAAACTATTTTAATTTTCAGACAAATATTTGGGTTGTAAACTAGTTTTGATGAAAATTTGAGCATTTTTGGCCCTGACGGACAGGATAGGGCAAAAGGATGCGTCCGCCGATGGGCGCACGGCCACCGCATCCCAGGACACGCCCGGACACGACTCCAAATCGCTAGCCAAACGGTCAGAATCCGGATAAAATGGACGTCCGTTTGGGGTCACGCAGTGAAGTTGGCCTAAACCTGTGGTAGTTTGTTTGTTACCGAGAAGGTAGTACTCCTATACTCGTGAAACTTCTGGTACTGTTTTTTTTTCTTCTGCTTTGCGATTCGTTAGTAGTACATGATGACACCATGGCCCGGTTGACACTGACCAGTTGACACCGTCTTACACGGCGGCTCGATTTACACGATTTAGTAAATCGGAAATGCCGAGTACCCGACGTCAGGCACACGCACATGATAAATCGAACGTTTTACGATGACAATTGTAGTGAAACAAAGATGGTAAAATCAGCTGGCGCACACGGAGATTTTCTTTGGAAAATAAACCGAATCACGAAGTTACCATACTTGCCAACTAAACTTGTCGTAGAAAACGCTCGATTTGACATGCTCAAATTCTGACTGTTGCGGCGTTATCAGATTCTAATAAATACGGTATGTGTATAAGATCCGAATTATGGAATGCAGTAATATTTTTCTGAGAAAGTATACACACCCATTTTCTGCGTGCCTGTCCCTTCTCTTTCGCAGGTCCCGACTACGGACACGAGACAGAGAGAAAAATGCTATTTCTACGGACACCAGATTAGATTTTTTTTGTTAGAAGAGAAGCGCGCAACTGATCACGCGTCGGCGTCGCCAACCCGCTGGCTGGTTCACCCATTGTTTGAACTAAACCCAAAAAAAAAAGCTTAATTAGGCGAGCACCAGCAGAGCAGCCAGCAGCAGCAAAGGGGAAAGGAAAGGGAAGCAGCACAAAAGAAACGAGATTATTGTTCTCCCTCCCCTCCCTCGCACCCGCCTACCCTCCGTAGCCAGCCAGCGACAACTCAGGGAGACGAGACGAGACGAGACGAGAGGAAAGCGCCCCCGCCCGCCCCCCATTCCTCGCTCCCTCCCTTCCGCCTCGCGCCCGCGCGTGGAATCCCCTTTGACTCGCAGCTTCCCCCACCGACGCCCGCCAGCCGCGCCTGCCGGCGGGTCGACCAGCGGCAGTCCGATCCGCCGCCGCTCGTCCCGCCTCCTCACCCAGGTTCGTCCCGCGCACGTCCCGAGCTCCTATCGCTGCTGCTGCTGCCTGCGATGGCCCGCCGGATCCGCGCTTGCTGCCGCTCGGGGCCGGGGAATGACCGGATCTCCTGCCGGGGGACCGGGGCTCTGTCGGCGGCGCCCGCTAGATCTGGGGCGGGCGCGCCGTACGGACGCACGCACGCACGCCGCGGCGGGTTTTCGAATTCACGCGGATCTCCTGCCCGTTCCTGCTGTTGGAGCCGCGCCCGCTTTTCGTGCCGGATTCTGCCTACTCTGTTTGGCTGTTAGGATCGTTTGTTCTTTTGAGCTTGCTTCTCGGCGATGCTAAGCCTGTACAATCGGAGTTGAAATGGTAGCGGTAGGTGGCAGCTTGGATCTCACCAGCAATGGATTGTGCAGGTCTCCTACCGAGGAGGAGGAGGAGGAGGAGCAGGAGGAGGGGAGGCTGACACCCGGGTGCGCGCAGGGGGCTAGCTAGATTCGGAAGGGCGCCATGAAGAAAGTGTTCGACCAGACGGTCCGGGACCTGTACGTGACCTCCATGCCATCTGTCTGTTCATTCGAGCGAGAGTTGTTCGTTTGCCAATAATAGTATTTATTCGTTCCTGTCTTTCTCCTTGCAGGAAACGCGGGGTGAATAAAAAGGTCCTCAAGGTGCCTGGCACGGAACAGAAGGTGAGGAGATCCCAGGCCCTCTTTCATGCACAAAAGCACAAGCATGCCTTAAGCATGCTGTTGCCAAATTCGCCTGATTGCTCACTGCATACATCCAGTTGCTACGAAGCATAATCTTAAGATGAGACTGCTCTTGTATTAATCCGTTCCACGCAAACTGACCTGAAACAGATTCTCGACGCCACAAGCAATGAGCCGTGGGGCCCCCATGGATCCCTCCTGGCGGAGATCGCCCAAGCAACACATAACTAGTACGCCTTCTGCTATCCGGTTGCCGCTTTGCCGGACAGGGCCCTGTTTTCTTGCTTCTAATGTGCTTATCGTGTTTGCAGTCATGAGTATCAGATGATACTGAATATCGTGTGGAAGAGGGTCAGCGATACTGGTAAAAATTGGCGGCATGTGTACAAGGTATGCTCTTCTTTACAAACGCGAGTGGATGGGAAACTAATCTTGATAATGCGTTGGACAGTTTAATCTGATGCTGTGTTTTGCTCTTTTGTAGGGATTGATTGTCCTGGATTACCTGGTAGCACATGGAACCGAGCGAGTTATTGATGACATAAGGGAGCATTCTTATCAGATATCGGTAATGCTATCAATCCTCTACTTCCTGCTTCAAGAGCCACACAGGCATCTCATCTTATCTTCCTCATCATACTTGCTTGATGCTCTAAAAAATATAATCGGAATTGCAGGCACTAGCTGATTTCCAGTATATCGATTCTAGTGGGAGAGATCAAGGTAGCAATGTACGACGGAAATCCCAGAGCCTCGTTAGTTTAGTTAATGATAAGGAAAGGATACTGGAAGTTAGGCAGAAAGCACTTGCTACCAGGGACAAGTGAGTGTAACATTGTACTATGTTTGCTTCAAATATCTGATCGGCACACACTGTGTCGTAGACATGTTTCTTGTGCTGATTAGTTTTCTGCGTTCCTTTATAGGTATCGGAGTGCATTTGCCACGAGTGGACCACACAGGAGTCCTGGTGGATATGACAATGACCGTGATCGCTACGAAGGAGGTAGATATGATAACAGGAATGGCTATGGGAGGGAACGAGATGGGTATAGAGATGATGACAGATACAGTGGCGCTGGAGATACCCCCAATAGGGATGGAGATCGTTATTCTAGGGATTCTAATGAACGCAACAGGGAAGATGAATACAGAGGAAGTAATAGCAACCCTGAGTATGCAGAAGGATCAGGCCGCAGGAGCTACGGGGATGAGGAGGCTTATTCATCCCGGTCCGTTTCATCGCTTGTTTCGATCTAACATTCTTAAGCGCTGATTATAGGAGGGTCAACAGATGATTTTCAAGATTGTTTTTGTGTATTACTAATATATTGCCATTTATGTTAAACATCCTCCTGTTTCTGTTACAGTGGTCGTGGCAGCAACGCTGATGCGCCTACTCAGGATGAGAGGTAAAAATGTAGTGTTGTTGAGTTCTTACCTTTTAGCTTGTCCTTCCGGAGCTAGCTGTCTTAAGTTCTACCTGCTTTAACAGGCCTATTGAGCGGAAGGCTTCTAACCAGCAGATTGCTTCACCACCAAACTACGAAGATGTCACAGGAGATACCCAGGACAATCATCATGATGAAAGGTGATGATTCTATCCTACAATTTATAATCTGTAGATAGAATAATGACATCGGGAATCTGAGCCATCCATCCATTTCAGAAATGGAGGGAGTGTGCCTGCTGTTGCACCAAAGGTGTCTTCTCCATCTGTTCCTAGAACAAGCTTTCCCCCAGCCCCAGGGCAGGTGAATGGTGTTCATGATAAGCCTGTCGAGGTTGTAGCTGCACAACCACCTGCTCCTGCTGCACAACCACCTGCGCCTGTTGAACCGAATGGTTTTGATGAGTTTGATCCACGTGGATCAGTACCAGGTATAGTTTGTACTCTTTTAGCAGTCAATTTGCTCATGACTAAACCAAAGTTATGGAAAATAGCAATGTTTTTTTGTTCTATTTCTTTATAAACTGTACAAGAAGAACAGTTGCATGGAAGAATTTTGACTAACTGGCATGTTGCTGTTATAAATTTCTTTTGGTGATTACTAAATACTAATTTCTTTCTTATGTCTATCCTTTCAGATGCTTCACCTCCGGTGAATACCTCACCGATAATGAATAGCTTTGAGATGGATTTGTTTGGGTCAGATCCTATTGGCGCCCTGGCTTTGGTTTCTGTGCCTCAGCCGACTGACGTCCCAAGTGTCGAGCCATCAGCAAGTTCAGGTTTTGAAACGGATAGTTTTATGGGCATGCCACCTGCTTCTAATGGATTCAGTGAGGTATGAATCTGTAGAACTTACTGCCATTTGCATAAATTAGCGCTGATGATAATGGGGAGAAGATACAATTTACACCAGACTGCTTCTTAAATTCTAGTGTCACTAGTTTACTTAAAGTAATTTAAACTGCCTTACAATTCCTTGAAATTTGACATACTGGATAAGTTGAGCACTAGTAAGGTAAAAATATTACTTAGCATAGTTGTTAAAATGTATTTATCCTTTGTGCATCTGGAGTAATGTTGGCTAAATTTCGGTCAGTATAACTTTTCTGAATTAAACGTGAAGTGACTTCCTTTTGTGATGGAATGACTGTTGTGTTCTGTTTTAATATGGTCATTATAGCCAACGCAAGCAGAGATTCAGCCTTTTCTCTTGTATTTAAATATTGTAGGCAATTGATGCTTCAAATCCTTTTGGAGATCCTACTCCTTTCAAGGCAGTTCAAGAAGAGAATCATGCAGCTTCTCAGACAAATGCGACCCCTGCTGGTTCATTCCAGGCCACAGGACCTGGTGCAGATGTAAATCCTTTCCAGCCTGCTTCATCCACTAACTTTGGTTTTGAAGATACTCTCGGCGGTCTCAGTTTTGCATCCAATGCTGCACCTGGGCAACAGGATATTTTTGGAAGCACCACCTCCTTACCTTCGGGGGTTTCACATGCAAATCCGTCCCAACAGGCACCCCCAGCTTATGTTCCCTCCCAGGCATCTCAGCCTATTACTCATGCTCCTCAAGCAGTGGCACCCAATACTCATGCTGCTCCCATGTTTGCTCAGCCACAAGCATATCCTGCAGCCATGAACCCATCATCATTTTCTCAGGCTGCTGCGCCATCATTTGCTCCTCCACAGCCACCTCAACATGCTGCACCATCATTTGCTCCTCCACAGCCACCTCAACATGCTGCACCATCATTTGCTCCTCCACAGCCACCTCAACATGCAGCTCCAAATCTACCATCAGGCCCATCAAACTTTTATATGCAACCGGCTTCACAGAATGGAGCACCACCATCCTATGTTCCTCCACAGTCTTCTCATCTCCCACCTCAACACGCATCTCAGCAAAGCTTCCTCCCACAAACTGCTGCACCAGCACCACAGGCACCATCAATATCTCGAGGGGCATCTCAGCCTTTTGGTGCCCCAAATTCAGTGCCATCTGGTGCCAGCACTCCTCTGCAGTCAAGTTTATCAGCTCCCCCAGAAACACTAATTTCAGCTTTGCAAGTTAGTCAGACCCAGCCAGTGAAGAAATTTGAGCCCAAATCTACAGTTTGGTCTGATACATTGACCCGGGGTCTCGTTGATTTCAACATTTCTGGTGGTAAGTGGCTTTTGTCTATGCGCCTGCAATGTCCTCATTCTGTTTTTGTGTGTTTTGACCTAATTGTATGTTGTTTTTTACAGCAAAAACCAATCCACACGCAGATATTGGAGTGGACTTCGATTCAATCAACCGCAAGGATAAAAGACAAGACAAGAAGATCTCTCAAGCACCTGTAGTATCTACGATCACCATGGGCAAGGCCATGGGCTCTGGCTCTGGCATTGGCCGAGCTGGTGCGAGTGCCGTTGCACCTCCTTCCAACCCAATGGGTGCGGGGCGGGGTGTCGGTATTGGTGGTGCTGGTTATGGTGGCGGAATGGGAATGAACCGGCCAATGGGGATGGGAATGGGAATGGGAATGAACCAACAACCCATGGGAGTGGGGATGGGGATGAACCAGCAACCGATGGGGATGAACCAACAACCCATGGGAATGGGCATGGGGATGAACCAACAACAGATGGGAATGGGAATGGGGATGAACCAACAACAGATGGGAATGGGGATGGGGATGGGCATGAACCCGGGGATGATGCGGCCTCCTCAGATGGGGATGGCTCCCGGCGGCATGCCTGGCGCCGGCTACAACCAGATGGGTGCTGGATATGGTGGCCAGCAGCCATACGGCGGGTACAGGTGAGATTACACAGCGGTGGATCGAACAGCGAGGGTTTGAGAAAACAGTTTAGCAGGCTTTCGGATTTTGCTCACCTGGGTTTCCCTTATGTATGATTTCTTTTGTTGGGGGGTATAATTTTTATCACTATTCTTTTTCCTATCCATCCCATGTTGGATATACTGTATCTACTGAAATGTATCGACATGGCACTGCCACAACTGCCGCGTTGTGTTTGGATGCAAAGCCACATGATATTACAAGCTTGGTTGGTTGTAGTTGTATAATTCTCTATAGGCTACTCTTGTCACCAAACATATGTTATTTGTTTCAGCGTTCTTGCTGGATAGGCAATAAAAGGATGTACTACCATTTTGTCGAATTTTTGTTTTTGTTCGCGCCATTTGATCAACATTTGTTATCATAGATAGATTGGTTCTTGATCAAACAAGACTAGAAACTTGCGGAAAGAAGAGTGGTAAAAATCTAGAGTTTTGAGAGGCCGGATGTGCAGCAGTTCCTGAAGGCATCCATGTCGCGGCGGAAGAGGGAAACGTAGGCGTCCACGCTGCCGCTGCCGGCGGAAGACGCCACGAGGAAGGCCACGCCCTCCACCGGCACGTAGCTGGGCATGAAGAGGAAGGGCCGGCCACCCCCCAGGTCCAGGTCATAGAACGGCAGCCGCACCCAGCTGTTCACCTCGACGTTCGGGCTCAGCACCATGTCCGCCGCGTCGGCCGTCGGCACCAGCCGCTCCTCCTCCACGGCCCCGGAGCAGGCGAAGTCGATGAAGGACCTGTAGTAGGTGTCGTCGACCCGCGCAACCGCCCGGCCGATGAGCTCCGCCGCGTGGCGCAGCGGCATGTCCACGAGCTCTCGCGCGGTGGCCGTCGGCCGCGCCCAGAGCACCACGTTGCCGGTGTACCCGTCGGGCACCGGCGGCCTCATCCGCCTTCGCCCGTCCACTCCGATGAGCAGGGCGGTGGCGTCGCCCCCGTCGAGCCCGCGCGCCCGCGTCACGCACCGCCACAGATGCGCCAGCACGCACTGCACCGTGCTCGTGCTGTGCCGCGCCCCGGCCGACGACGCCTGCGCCTTCAGCTTCGCGATGCGCTCCGCGCTGAAGTGCACCCTCTCTACCACCACCTCCTCCTCCTCGCCGCCGCCACCGCCGGCGTCGTCGTCCTTGCGGGCGTCGTATGGCTTGAACTCGGCGCGGCGGTGCTCGTGCTCGATCTTAGGCGGGCTGCGCGGCGGGAAGAACGACGTCCGGTCGTGCACCGGGGCGGGGTCGACGGGGGCGCCGCGCGTGGCCTGGCCCCACGCAAGGATGAAGTTGCAGAACCCGCGGCCGTCGGCGACGGTGTGGTGCACGGTCAGGCCGACGACGAGCGACCCGCACGCGAACCGCGTGGCCTGGACCAGCATCAGCTCGTCGCCGCCGCTCGGGTGCAGGCTCAGCGCCGCGCGAGTGGGCCGCAGCGGCATGACGCTGCCGAGCGCCACGCCGGCCGTCGCCTCGACGAACCGCGCGCCGGCGTCGTTGAGGAGGATGGCGCGGCGGCTGCCGTCGGCGTCCCGGGCGAGACGCCCGGCGAACTCGCGGTACTCGACGAGGGCCCTGGCGAGCCCGGCCTCGAGGACGCCGTTGGGCGGGGCCGGCGGGTGGAAGGCGTAGATGACGGAGACCTGCGTGTCCAAGTTGGCCTTGTCGAACACTGAGAGCGGGACGACGTTCGTCGTGAACGGAGGAGCCACCGGGCGGTGGCCGCCATAGTCAGGCTTGATGGACTTGGATGACTGCACCGTGATCTTCATACGGCAGGCTAAGAAAAATGTTGCACGCATGTACGCGAGCAAGATGGGGATGAACAAAACTAGCGCGAACGTGACATCTCTCTATATATCCCAGCAATTTGCACGAACACACGCAAATATAACGAGGCAACTGATCTCATCGAGTTTCGAACTTTTTTGTCCAAACAAATAAAATAATGAAAATAGGTATTCAGAACCTTTTTTGGTCGAACAAAAAATTGAAAGTGTCTAGAAAAAATGGATTTTTTTCTCTAAAATGAACACTACCACACTGACCATTCTCCGAAAGTTGCGAACTCTTTGTCCAAACAAATAAAACAATAAAAATACGTATTCAAAACCTTTTTTTGTCAAATTTTGAAGAAAAAATTAAAGTGTCCAAAAAAATTGATTTTTTTTTCTTCTAAAACGAACACTACCATGCTGATCATTCAGAGAAAGTTTCAAGTTTTTTTTGCCAAACATATATTAAAAAAAATACAAAGACAATAGACGTTCAACCCCTGTTTTAGTCAACTTGCCAGCTGATATGGACACTGACTGGAAGGGTCAACTGATCAAGACCAGTAAAACTGACCAGAAACCGGTTTGAGGGGAGACAGGGTTGAAAGTTGCTCGGTTTTGAAAGTTGACGGTTGTAATTTAGAATGTAATAAAGTTTAGAGTTGTTTCTTAGACATTTGTGTCAACTCAGGATTGAAATATGGACATCTCTCAACTTTCAAAACCGGGCATATTTGTAAACTTACTTTCTAAAGGCATATATTTAGTTACTGCTTTTGGTAATCATAACAATATAAGATTACTATTATCAACTTCCTTAATATGTCCATAATACTCATGACTAAAAATTATTCCAATCTAATTTCACCTCATATACCCTAATACCCCCTCCGTTCCTAAATATAAATCCTTTCAGAGATTTCACTATGACTATATACAGATGTATATAGATATATTTTAGAGTGTAGATTCACTCATTTTGCTCCGTATGTGGTCCCTTATTGGAATCTCTAAAAAGACTTTTATTTAGGAACGAAGGGGGTAGAATCCAATAACTGTACTACACACCATATTTTCAACAAGAGAGTAATATATTAATATTAATATCAAGAGAATAAAAATTGAGAGAAGTCCATATTTCAGGCGTTCCCCAATCCAAATTTGTGTCCTTTTTGAATAGTCTCAACTTCTTCAAGGTCTCCACTAGGCCTTGATATTGCATCCTTTGTTTTTCCTATGATATCAGGCGCTCATAAGCCTACGGAATTGAAAAGGACATGCTACTCAATCATGTGTTTTTCCCGTCCCTGTGTTTTGAGTCATGTGAATCAATGCCTAAAAGTTTTGATTTTTTTTGAAATTTCTAACCTAACTCTCTCAATGTTTTCAACCATATATTGTGGTTATGGTAGTCGGCTTTTCTTCAGTGTGTCCGTGAGTTTGCCTTGGCCGCCTGTTGCTATGAAGTCGAAGCTGCGGTGCGGGGGCCCGATGGCGTACAATGACTGGCGATAGGTGGCCCGTTCGGCAATCTCCCGTGATGCCAGCCTTGTCTAGTTTCTCTGTAGTTCTTAGCCGGAGTCGGAGCTGCGTTGCCCTTTTGTGGGTGGAGGGCGATCCGTCATGTAAGCGTAGTGTTGTTTTGCATCTAGTAGAGTTGACGTTTTTCTCCTTTTTCTTTGATCTTTGGATCCTCCCCATATTGTTGTTCCGCTGCTTTCTACTAATTGAACCTAGTAATTTGCTGGATCTTTCAAAATAAAAAACAATATAACAAACTTCTTTTTTGAGGGAACAATATAACAAACTTTGCATGCAAAGGAATGTCATGGCTCACCTGCATAGTTGCATCCTACGAAAACAATTCAATGGATGTGACCAAACTCAGACATGATAATTTTTTTGTAAGATTAACGCAAGCTGGGAGTATCGAAGATATTTTTTTAAACAATGCTGCGCCGATGATAAGAATCTTGCTAATATCCATCCTTTGTCAGCATGAATGTAGTCTAAAAGGTGACTTCAAAATAACATAAGCTATTGCATACAGGCGATAGAGTTTCCTCTGCCTCCCGTCACCGTCACCGCCCCCGCCTATCTACCTTGTCTCCAGACTCTAGTGGCATTAGGCCCATGGAGGCACGGCATATCCCAGCCCCTGCTGATAAGGGGGGCTTCATTTTTAGGTGTTTTTTTTTGAGTTTGACTAGGGTTTGTGTCCTAGAAAGTAAGGCGGTGGCGACACCCTGAAGATGGAGTAAGGTTCTCCCCGCCCAGCCCCATTCTGGTGGCGTGTCTAGCGTCATTGGAGGGTATGTGGAGGCGTGTCTCCAGCGGATCTTGCGGAATTTGTTCTGTGTTTATCTTTGATTGATCCGGTTGGTTCTGGTTTTCGTTCGTCTATATTCATGTATTTACATGTTGAATGTTTTCGATTTGCGCTTCTCATCATCGAGAACGGTTGCTGTTCTGCAACACTGGTCGTATGGGGTCTTAGCACGATGACTTTCTGATTGTCAACAACAAGGTTTGCCCGGCTCTGGTGAAGGAGGGGCAGTGACGGCAGTGCGCCTTCGGCTCGCTAGAGCGCTTATAGTCGTCGCTAGGTGGTCTACGAACCCGAATGTAATTTCTTTTACCTCTGGTGTTCTTTATACTATCTTGATGTTTCATGACTTGATTAAAAGTTTTCGTGCGTAAAAAGGAAAGTGATCTAAGAGCATCTCCAACGGCCGTAACAAAAATGTCGCGCCCAATAAAAGTTTTAGCGCGTCACTACCAGATGCCCAAAAACACGTGCCCAAAAAGTAGACAGTGCAAATTGTGAAGCGCGCGCAATTCGGAGTCCAAAATATGCTGCGCGATAGCGTTTTTCAGCGCGCGTCCTAAATCTTTTAGCGCTACAGCATCTGCTGAAACTATTCGGCGCCAAAAAAACAAAATTTTAATGTGCAGAGCTCTTTTTGGACGCTTGTTGTAGATGCTCTAAAGGCTTACAACCTCGCTAGGTGGTCTACCGACACAATAAGAGCGTTTTGGCAACTTGTAACAATGATGAGGGTGAGAGTATCCAAGGCAATTTTTCAGAACAACGCTGCACTGATTAAAAGATAAGGCTTACAACGGATAAAGGGTTTGGCAACTTGACAACTTGACACGAAGAGGGTGAGAGTGTTTTCCTATTTTTCTTAGGGCAAGCACAAAGCTTTATTACGAAACATTCTGGGCTTCATCGGCCAATACAACATTAGCTACAATAGCTGAAACATCATCATCTAAGACAAGATCCTCTCCATCAGGGAGTGATGAACCTAGTTGCGCTAGGTAGTGGCGCAGGCATGTTTGCATCACGCTTACAATGAAGAAAGTCACACATAGTGAACCAAAGTTTGGCCTCTCAGCTATCCTGTGCTTCCTTGGAGAAATCAGCAGCAAATGGACCAGACACATTGAAGGCGCGCCCTGCCCTGACAGCCACAATCTGGCCATCAGAATCTTGCTCCTGAGCTCACATGTACCGTACCAGCCAACCAAGCGGCCTGTCAAAATTACCAACAAAAAATTGCAATCAATTCAAATAATTAATGTAGCAAAAAGATTAACAAGATTTGACATTCATGATGGTCCGTCAAAATTCGCTGCTCTAATTTGAAGCTTTTTGGAGCTCCGATCTTGTGTACAAAAGCTATTATTTCCTCACGAAATTTCACACACAGCTATTTTTTTTTAGAAAAGGAGAATGACCCTCGGTCTCTGCATCTAGGCGATGCATACGGTCACATTTCACACGCAGCTATAGGACACCCAAACATGTTGTTGCTAAGCATTTTTTTCTATTGTTTTCGAACTTACCGTTCATCCATCCAGATGCACGTGAGCTCGGTAACACAAAGGATACGTGTCGTCTAACCACGCAGGGAGGGAGGCGGCACGTGCCAGACCCGGGAGGGAAACGTCGACCGCTAGCTCGAGCACCGCCGTTTTTGGTTTTGGTTCAAATGGCCACCAATCTCTCACGTCACTGCATGTCTGCATCTGCATGATCTCCAGCTCCACGCCCGTCCAGGCGGTGCCGCTGTAGCCGTGCGCCCGGGGACACACATTCATGGCCGTATGCATCTTTCTGATGCAGAGGCCGAGGAATTCCCCTTTTTCGAAAAAAAAAATCTTGCCCGCGCGTCCAACTGCGGCCGTCGTCCGCTGAATGCTACGCGCATGATCGTCCAACAGACAAAGCCGAGCTTCAAGCCCGCTGCGCTGCGCCCAGGAGAAGAGAAACTGCCAAAGCGGGAGCTCAGCACTAGCAGCAGTAACAACCAACCAAAACCAAGCAGCCAACCATGTCATACGGCCAACAATTCAAGATACGCGAGGTGCCCCCGATCGTGCAGGAGCTGGTGGCCGGCGGCGTGCAGGAGCCGCCGGGCCAGTACGTGGTCCCCGAGCAAGACCGTCCGGCCGCGGCGGCGGTCTCGGAGATACCCGAGCCCATCCCCGTCGTCGACCTCAGCCGGCTGTCCGCCAACAGCGCCGACGAGCTCGCCAAGCTGCAGTCCGCCTTGCAGAACTGGGACCTCTTCCTGGTAAATTTATTCTCAAACTTCTTTCGGTTTTCTTGTCGTCGTGTGATGTGATGAAGTGGTCATTTCGATCTTTCTCCAGGCCGTTGGACATGGAATGGAGCCTGGTTTTCTTGCCGAGGTGACGAAGGCTGTGAGGGAGTTCTTCAAGCTCCCGCTAGAAGAGAAACAGAAGTACTCGAACATTGTCGACGGTGAGAAGATGAGCTCGGATGGGTACGGCAACGACATGGTCGTCGTGGAAAATCAGGTCCTTGACTGGAACGACCGGCTCAGCCTCCTGGTGGAACCCGAGTCGGAGAGAGCCTATGCACTGTGGCCAACGCAGCCACCTTCTTTCAGGTCCGTGCCCTCTAGGTTTTTGCCATGATCTGTTCAGTGGAGTTGGAAACTCCGACCTGTTGGCATTGAGATTCACCGAAAAACAGCGTAAGTAGTTTCATTTTTAGGTTTCCACTGGAATCAACATATACTACATATCTTCATTAATTCAGAAATACATATCCTTCCAAAAAACGTGCTGCTAGATCTTTTAATCTTTATTTAATACACTTATGCATACAGAATATCAAGATTCTAGTATAATGTCATAATAAATCTTAGACTTGTCATGAAACCTATACAACCAGTTATGCATGTAAACGGCAATAATCCGCTTATGACTTCACCCAAGCATACAAGGACAGATGCAATGAAAGAAGGAAAAAGTAGCTCCGCAACTCGCCCAATTACAACTCGTCTTACTATCTGATCTTTCTAGAAGTATTTTGGGCCTCTAAGCACTTTCTTGCTTGGCACTACTCCAATGAATGAACTTCGATTCGGACTGTGCTGGGACCCCATTGGCTGCATTTCAAGAAGTAATATGGCTGAGAAATTATCTTCTCTGTCTCGATGTGACTAAGCATGCCTATGAGACAATGGTCAAATATGTCCTTGCTTTATTATCAACTTTTGAGTTTTTCTTACAAGTTGAACAATAAAAAAGACGCCAGGTCATTACATATCAATATAGATTGGTGAGTATATTTTCAAATTGCAATCCATGATAAAAACCCTAAACTGACGAGTAACCGATTCAATACATTTCTCTTATCATCCATAGTATATTGTGTTGCGCAGAGACATTCTATGCGAGTACACGGTCCGATGCAGACCGGTGGCAAACCTTATGCTGCAAAACCTAGCCAAGCTTCTCAATTTACAGGAGGAATACTTGACAACCATGCTCGGTGAGAAGTCCTTAACCCAAGCTATAATCAACTACTACCCTCGGTGCCCCAAGCCGGACCATGTCTTGGGCCTTAAGCCCCATACCGATGCTTCGATGATCACGGTCAACTTCATTGATGATGATGTTAGCGGGCTCCAGCTGCAGAAGAATGACATATGGTACAACGTGCCCATCGTCCCAAACGCATTGGTTGTGAACATAGGGGATGTAATGGAGGTAACTTTATTGTGTCCGTTGGTAGTTGGCTATATAGTTTGTAACTTTGTATGATCCCGTCTTGTACATTGTCAAGCTAAGATATATATGCATCTCCCTGTTTCATCCTAGTGCATGTATGCAGGTAGTGAGCAACGGGTTGTTCAAAAGCCTAGTGCATAGGGTCGTGACCAATGCGGAGAAAGAGCGCTTGTCGTTGGTGATGTTCTACGAGTTGGAGCCAGAGGCGGAGATTGAGCCGGTGCCAGAGCTGGTGGATGACAAGAGACCTAGACGGTACGGGAAGATGAAGAGCAAGGACTACCTAGCGAAATTCTTTGACACTTATGCAACAGGGAAACTAGCCATCGACTCCATGAAGATCTGAATTAGGATTCCAATGCGAATAAGTTTGGAGAGGGTATGCTCGTGTATGTGAGCGACTTTGATTGTACTGTGTAAAAAAGAATGTTCAGTGAGTACTATGGTCATGTTTCTTCCAATGACCAGTTTGTAACGAGTTAATAAATGGGCTTGGCCCATGAAGAATTTCTGAAATTTCTAATGTAAATCTCAAAAGGGCCATGTGTAAATGGTGAGTGGAGGCGTAATCTTTAGTCGCACCCCGAAAGTGGAGGAGGTGTGAGACCAACCTAAATAGTGGAGTCTTCCGCGTCTCCACTAAGTGATGGGTATGAGGATGGCAAGAGAACACCACACGCGTGCGCTTGCCTTGCCTGGCCTAGGCTAGGGCCAGGGTGCAGGGCGCGGGCGTGTGACATGCGTGTGAATGGTCCACCGAAATCCAGTCCATAGACTTGCAGGAGCGCGGATTACTTTTGCCATTTTATTTTTTTGATGTTTTGACAGCCAATTTTAGGATCGCGGATTCCTTTTGCCATTTTATTTTTTGATGTCTTAACCGACAAGTTCATTGTTTTCTTGTTCGGTAAGTTTACGATTTGGAAACCAAGCCATTTTGAGATCGTGATCGCGACCCGATATAGGGTCGGTTCTCCTATATATACGACTTACCGTCCACGACCAAAGACACACCGGAAAAAACGAGGGTTTTGCCTCATCTTGCAACTTGCGCTGCCACTGTAATCTACTCCATGGTGAATGTCGGTGAGCATTGGCGAGCGGGTCTCAGAAACCTCTCGCCCTTGTGATCCCACACCGGAAGAGGGAGAATTAGGGTTTGGGAAAGCGCTTCATGCGATTACTCAAGTTTGCCATCACAGGTTGTCTTCCATCCAGGTTGTCTTCATGCAATTACTCGTATTTGTTCGCTGTTTTCCTAGTTCTTTTGGATTTCTTTCAACATCCACGTTCCTGAACAAGTAGAACAAGAGCGAGAAGAGAAAGAAACATAAAAGGTGCGAGATGAAGAAGAACATCACGAACACTTGGTGAGGATTAAGAAGCCAATGGGAAAGAACAAGGCGTCCGGGGAGAAGGGATGAGATAGGTGGGAGGATGGGGACCAGATGCATTGAATAGATGTAGTTGGCTATTGTTCATTGAGGTGGATAGGCTCTGGCTGCTACACATGACAGAACTTCTGACCAGTGGGAACAGAACCATGTGGAATTAAAGACTGATATACGCCAAAGCAAATGAGAATACGAGATGATAAAGTTTGCAGTACAGTGTGGTTAATATAGTGGTTGAGGATCCCAAGACACATGAACAGATATGACTCGAGTGGGCAGCGTCGCTGACGGTGTCCTGGACTAGGGGGCACTCACCACGTCATCTCTCGATCTGTTGGAGTGGGCCGAGGACCCCCATGGCCGTATACTCATGGACCAGTTCGGACAACTGCCGCATACATGGAAGATTTTATAAGACTTGGTGATCAAGACAAGGACTCCTCCCCACCGGCGTATTCGGCTAGGACTCTTGTTATCCTAGGCCTCTGGTGCATTATATAAACCGAGGCCAGACTAGTCGATAGATATATACAGACAATCATACCATAGGCTAGCTTTTAGGGTTTAGCCTTTCCGATCTCGTGGTACATCAACTCTTGTAATACTCATCATCAAGAATAAATCAAGCAGGATGTAGGGTTTTACCTCCATCAAGAGGTCCCGAATCTGGATAAAACTTCGTGTCCCCTGCCTCCTGTTAAGATCCGCCTTAGAAGCACAGTTCGGGACCCCCTACCCGAGATCCACCGGTTTTGACACCGACATTGGTGCTTTCATTGAGAGTTTCGCTGTATGATCGACAAAGGGATCGATGGCTTGTCTGCGGATTAACTGCGACGTCGACATCTTCATCACCGGCTCTCCTGGTCACCTTGGCTCGACCGAGGACTGTGCCCTACCTCCGATCATCATGTTCGGATGAGGGCCTGCATCAACATCAACTCCGATCCCTATCAAGATCATGGAGGAATCATCCAGGGAGCCCGGGAGCTCAACGTCAACATTGCCCTCGGGCGACCGTGCTGTTTTTCTAGACAATGAACTTGTATCCGCCGCCACCGCCTCCTCGAGCGTCGGTTTGACGATTGCTCCGGTGGAATAGTGCATAATTACTTCTACAACAGCCATGCAAAATTTAGTCGAGTTCCGATGGAGGAATCTCTGACAATCTATGATATACCGGAGCCCTGTCAAATCTGGATGGGAATCTGGACGAGTTTAGGGCGTGGTCTCCAGAGCCCAGCTCAGAGATCCTTTGAAAGATCCAACCGTTCATCTACTGCGGAATTCTCATATCTACCATCCCTCCAAATTTCAGCTCGATCCGATGGTTCAAACTCTGGGAACCTTCCGATGAGTGGGCCAATTTTAGGATTCGTTTTCTGCACGAATACGGATCCGACCCGAATTCATGTTTCTTTATGAACGTGATATTGGACAACCTTTTTAGAGGAATTCTCTTCAAGGGTATTGTGCGTCATTTTTAAACACATGCCCGTAGAATTTTAAGCCTCCTCTGAGGTCATCTTCATCATCGTGCTGGTGTCAAACCAGTCCGGCAATATTGCTCCAAGGCTGCCGACCTGCGCTAGACACGTCGTCACTTTGATAAGCCGAGCTCAACTTCTTCGGATCATCATCTCGGCAAGCCGAACAAGAGTCCGGGATCGTGAGGGATAAATCATCACCAACATCGCCGCCCCACGGATTACACGGAGCGGGCATACCGGCATCGTCGCACGGTCGCTTCATCAAGCCGGCATCGACCACGTCACGACCTGCATCGGCAGGGCCGCACTATTGCTTCTTCAAGCTGGTGTCCATCATGCCGACCTACTTCGACTCATCAGCTGACACCGAGGCTTCGACATCTCGGCTGGACCGGGGGTTTTGCCATCTCTTCATCAACCTACTCTAGACACTTCGGCGTCACTAGCCGACTAGCTCCGTCACGTTAGCTGGACCGAGGGCTTTGCCTCGGCGAGCCAACCTTTGACAGCATTGTCATGCCATCGTTTTATCGCCCATCAGGCAATGGGTGTGCGGATCGAGTCCCAATTTTGGGAATCACCTTCCTTCGGAACGCTACAACAAATAAACCAGGTGCTATTAATCCCAGTATTTTTGCTTGTTTGGGTTCATTTTTTCCAAGGAATTATTACTCTGGCTTGTCCATCATATGTACACAGGTCTATCAAATGGTGGCCGCAGGTCGCATGGTGGTTCGGTCAGTCTCCGTACATAGTCCAGCGAATGCCGCATCCGGAACTCGGACCGACCTGTGAATTCAGGCTTTGCCACGCCTTTATCGCATCACGCCGACGCCCTGCATCGACATTGACTTCGGCGCCAGGCTATATTTCTTTTATTATTCACTTTGCATAAATTATTTATTATGCAACATTTTTTTCAATTATTATTACTATTATCTTCGATTTGCACTATTTTTTGTGCACAGGAAAATGATCCGGGGACTTCGGCATCATTCTGCCGGTCCGCATTGACCGTGCTATGTCACCACTTCGGCGTGTCGAGCTCTCCGCTCCACCACCTCGGGACATGCTTGAGGGATGGAACCTTGTCCCGCATCAAGCTCGGACCACGTTATCAATGCCGAACACATTAACCAGCTAAGTCGCTTTCATGCTCAAAGTTTTAATTTTTAACTTGTGTTCGGCTCGACCTAGCATTATACTTTTTTGGAAAAAAGTTGCTTGTAAAAATTTTCTTGTCCAAACTTTGTTTGTGACACACATATTCAAATACTCCGTTTATTTGGGGGCTTCCTTTATGAAGTTTTTCCTCTTGCATATGATTATACTTGTACGGCTTCGTTTCTTATTCGTGTATTACGCCACAATATAAACCATATTGACTTAAGCGATTTGCAAGCTGGGTTGCCTGGCTCTTGTGCTTACCCCTACGTTCCCGATTGTTCGGCTAGGGAGTAAAGGGAGCACCTCTGCGATTGTCACGACCGGGTCCTCCGAGCTCTGACCTCAGACTGGATGAAGCCGAAAGCTAGCGCTCTTATTGTTTTCAATCATGGTCGGCACACAACTGAACTCATGAGTACAAAAAATCTATTGCACAAGTCTCATAATAATAATGAGCACCGAAGAAAGGTATCAATGGGGGTACTATTTTCTTCAAAGATGCTTCTTACACTTCGTCTGTAATATAGCATAAGTTCCCTGAGCGCGCTTTGTCTGTTACAGCCTTATGGCCCGGTTGCCTGGTTATCAGAAACACTGTCGATATTCTCGATAGGTGGAGTACATAACACTTTTCGGTCATTGACCGAAGAGGGAGAAGTCGACGGTCGGTTAAGACGCGTTTAAAGTTTGGTTGAACAAAGATATGATATAAGTACTTCGGTACATACAATCATTATACATAAAACCTTTTACCCAAGTCACTTGGGGGCTCTTAAAATTTATATGAGCTATTTTATAGTAAATGTGTTTTCTTCTTGGTCGTTGGAAAGTCTTTCTCTATCGCTCCTTTTTTGACGTGAGTGTGTGGTCAATAGCCAGATAACCCATTTTCTCTCTAGTGACCGCTCGAGTTTAGTTCGCTAAACCGATCTAACAAGAAGCACTCCGCCTTCGGGATAGGAGGCTGCAGCCGTAGGCTGACCCGCTTGAAGTCTTGAGATCGCATGTGTAATGTTAAAGCATGACAGAAGCACTCTTTTTTTTCTAAAACCAATTTTTGGATTGGCACCGAACACTTGATCTTGTTCGGACGTCAAGTTTTTTACTGACGTTTTTTGGTTTTCCAAGCTTATGGCAGTTTAAAACTATTTGTGTGTTTTCAGCACAAGTCTCGCAGTGCAGTGCCGGACACCTTCATAGATTCGGCAAAAATATTCTCGGATCTCACTATATATGCATTGGTTTCGAATTATGTCTTCGGTCAATAGTTGGGTTGCCCGGCTCCTGCGCTTGCC